ACTCATTGAGCACTAAATTATTAACCGTTGATTATCATAGATCTTCGATCCAGAGTGATGTATTCAACCCAGTCACTTGCTCAGACTGTCATACTAGCAGTTTATATTTATAAAAAAAATTAACAAAAATAAAATTTCCTAATTTTTTATCACATTCTGGCAGCACTCATTGAGCACTAAATTATTAACCGTTGATTATCATAGATCTTCGATCCAGAGTGATGTATTCAACCCTGTCACTTGCTCAGACTGTCAAACTAGCAGTTTTTATTAATAAAAAATTTAAAAAAATAAAATTTCATAATTTTTTATCACATACTGGCAGCACTCATTGAGCACTAAATTATTAACCGTTGATTATCATAGATCTTCGATCCAGAGTGATGTATTCGAACCGGTCACTTGCTCAGACTGTCATACTAGCAGTTTTTATTGATAAAAAATAAAATATATTTTATTTTCCAAAATTTTCATCAGATACTGCCAGCACTCATTAAGCACTAAATTCCCTATGCATTGCTTTAGTTCTATACCGCGTTAATATAGGCGTTTCAGGGAATACACTGCTAGCTTAATTAAAAGCTGGCAGTGTTCTAATTTTTCGCTAAACTATGTGAGCATTAAATTTCCGGTTTTGGCACTAAATTAGCACTAAATAAGCACTAATTGATGCACTTTATTTTAAACGATTCTGCTCACTTTGCCATGCTAGCTTAACAGACGTGTACACATTTGACAATGACATTTCGGACTCACAAACGATACGAATTCGATATTGGTTCGTGCTAGGGGTACTGTTCTTAGGTTAATAAATAGTCACTAACCTAAAAATTATGTGAACATTTAACTGATATTTAATGCATTCGACAATTTGTTATGAATTCCACTGAAGTGTTTATTTATATCGCTTTTTATGGAACAATGTAACATACTATTACTTAATCGACTCTCAAGCGTACGACTTGAAGCTGTATGAACATAAAAGAATTACGACATAGTTTGATGCTTAAATAAATTAAATAATATCAAAACCCGAAATGTACGTACCTACATATTTGGCCTCGATTTTTTCAGTTATATCACTTATCATTAAGGGGTCTACTGCAAAAGTCAGTGACAGATGGCTTCGCTACTCAAGTATACTTTAGACTGATTCCTACATTAAATAAAACGATAAAGTTTATAAGCGCAAAGCATATCGAAAGATTTAAATCTATGTCACTAAACACAGAAACAATTTCGCCAGCGTGACTCAAACAAAAGTGAAGAAATCCAACTGCAAAAATATATCTTGGGAGTTTGTTATTTCACGCTGCCAACGTCTGTGCAACAGTACTGTCACGTACTAAAAGGTTTTAAGGTATCTATTTTCTCTAGGTAAGAGCTGAGTAAATATTCTATTACACGCAGAGTATTGTTTACAATAGGAAAAATCATTTTTACTTTACGATTTTTAATAGTTTTTATTGGCATCTAATAAGAATTATCTTGATGTAGTGTTTACTATGTATATTTTGCTTTGTTTGTTTTTTACTTAGAGTTAGCGAATTTGTTATATTTACACAATGTGTGAATGTCATATTATTAGGTCGCAATGTAAGGAAAATTTGTATTAATTCACGTGGATTTTAAGGAAAATAATGCATAATTATATAAGCATAAGCATTATAGCAAGCGACATTTTTTTAAGAAATTTTTCACATTTTATGAGACGTGATAAGATTGTTAAATTATTGCGACGTTTTTGAGAAATGATGTTCAGTATGATTTCAAAGAAATTCTTGAGACATGTTTTAATGTGGTTTTGGATAATCACAATATTATTCATATAATTTACATTAAATTTATATTTCATTTAAGTAGCTAGTATTGTTTATTTATTTTATTGTTGAGGCATTACATATAGCATACGGATTTTTATTATTTAAAAAAAATTACATAATTCGGCCAATTTGTAGTTCCACTAATTTTGTACAGAACCTTGGTGAGCGATTATAAAAACAGCAGGTAGTAGAATAAAAAAAGAAACTCAGGAAACAAGGTCAGCTACTTGTGTACATGTTGATTGGCGGAAGCTACCTTTATTAGCATCATCATCATCATCAGCCTATTAATCTCCCCATTGCTGGGGCAAAGGACTTTCCTATGGATGGATGAGATTGGGCCATCAACCACCACGCGGGCCCAGTTTGGAGGTGCTATCGACTACAGATGTAGCCGGGATAGTTAATTTTTGATCAACCATCCAATGACCGCCCAATGCGAAAGTTGTTTAACTTCAACGATAGCAGCCGAAAGCGCTAACCACTTGCGCCATAACGCTCCGAGAGTCACGTTGTGTGGATCTTGATTGGCGGAAGCTATATTGCGTTGCAATAAGAGCAATAACACTTAGTGCAACTGTATTCAATTTCATTGTTTCCACTGTACTTAGTACTAGGTGGTTCGAACAAGATGTGGCTGATGTTTTCCATTAGGTACTTGTTTTAATATTAAAACAATAAAGTATTTTAAGCAAACGTATTATCATAGCCTCTTGTATGCAACACAAACTTTTGTAAAACTCAAAACACCCACATATTATCGAGTTAGAACTGTCAAAGTTTTTCATGCCAGTAAAAGTTCGACAGCTTCTAAAAAGTAACTTCGTAATACCCCAAGTTTAATGTTAAGGGTTTGTTAGGCCCCAATATATTTTTATTTAAGCTTAAAAATGCTTGCCTTGTATTTTTTAAGTAAAATTTTAGTGAAAAAATTTAATTCAACCTATTTTTTTTTATCTTTTTATTACAAAAGCACAGATTTATAAATTATACAACGTAATAATGCCATTAGATTAGTTATCTAATGGCATTCATGTGTCTTTTGGAGCAGTTTCTGTCAGAACATACCACAAGTTATGCGTAAAAAACAAGTGACTGCATGATCGATTCTGCTTGCGCATTGGATGAGATCGATGGCGTGGGTGGTTAGCCCGTTCGGCTCCGTTCGTTGAAGTTAAGCAACTTCCGCAGTGGTCGGTCATTGGATGGGTGACCAAAAATCTTCTATCTTGAATTCCTTCGTGGTTCGGAAGGCACGTTAAGCCGTTGCTCCCGGCTGCATCTGCAATCGTTAGCATCCGCTAATCCGCACCGGGCCCGCGTGGTGGGTCATGGCCCAATCTCCCTATTCCATCCATAGGGAAGGCCTGTGCCCCAGCAGTGGGGACATTAATAGGCTGATGATGATTGAATGTTGTAGCATTCAGCTGTAAAATATTATATCATATACGATTACCTACTTCAATTTTTAGTACCCGTTCGATATGCATATATCGATAATTCGAATTTTTACGAATATCCTAGGGAGTTTGCAAAAACACGGATACTTAGACAATGGCGATAACATTGCTCAATATTAAAATTAACGTTTTTTTTTCATGGCCATGGTGACAACACTAACGCAATTTAACCGATGCATGCAGTATGAAAATTCCATTACCATATATCCAAAAAAAAAAAAATTAACCTAGTGTGACTCCAAGAAGTCAAAAACCCGAGACTATTGATAAAAAGCCAACGATTCTTTTCGCAATCGTACTGAGGCGACTTGTGCTTTCGAATAAATCATATCTTTTTTTCAGTGAAATCCCTAAGATTTGTTGCGAAACTTCGGTCGATCAAACCATTATACGACACATAAACATGATGTAAGCTGGTATATCGGTACTGTTCCACCAATTTTTATTTTGATGAAAATACACAGTAATAAATTTATGACAACAATATTATCCATTTGTGGGAAACATGTTTCTGCAGAACGAGAACAAAGGTGCGATGACATGACTGTTCCCAATAACTAGTACGAAAATTTGATCTCAGTAATTCACCCCTAATTTAATTGTTATTCATTGGAATTTCGTTCTGTAAACGTAACACCTGCAGGCTCTTTGTGTTCAATATTCTCGATGTTTATGCTACAAATGTTTCATTATGCTTTTATTGCTTTTTGATTGAAGTTGTTTACAGTTTGTTGTCACAAATTATGATATTGTTAAGGCATCGTTTTATTTGATTGTTGTTAAGGTTGCTATTCGTGTTGATAATATTTGTTTTTTGTACGAATTAATTTATTTATTATTGTGTTACTATCCGCATGCTGTAGGTACATAATGGTAGGGGAGCACAAGCGGGGATTTTTGAATTTACTCGAGCGTGGCAGATTTAACATATTGGAGGGCAACTTGCACCTAGTTAAGTACTCCCATCATACCTGAACCCTATGTAGGGGCGAACGTCTAGGGCAGCAAAAACAAAATTTCAAGGCACGGCCATGACTTAATTTAGTTTAGTTTTTCAGAGCGGTTTCCACACTTAGTCCTAATCATTGTACCATTGTGCGTGTCTCGAAATATTCCCGTTTACTCCAGCTAGCCTAAGTTAGTCCAGAAAGAAAGCAGCCTTGGCAGACTGCTGCAAGCTTCCGGAAGCGATGCTGGCGACTGGAGAAGTCGTGCCCGTTGGTCGGCCACACTCTTGCATTCCATGAACATGCTGTGGCGTTTCTTCTGCCTCCACACATCCTCTGCATAGTGGGCTGTCTATTAATCCTATTGTATATAGGTGTTTGTTTAGGGGACAATGACCAGTTAGGCTTCCTATGTGGAGTTTGTCCCTATTAAGTTTTGTAAGGGTGCGGACAAGTCTCTTATTTGCCTCTGGAACTGCGTTTTTCATTTGCCGGCATCCTTCACCTGTTTTCCACTCTGCCAAGTGTGATTTTTGAGTCCTAAGATACAGCCATGTTTTAGTTTGGGCCTGAGGTATGGGCAGAAATGGTCATGACTTTTGGTCGCTTCCAAAACGTCAGTCTGTTGAATACAAGCTATTAGAGGGTTCATGTTATTCTACCGCGCTCGAGTAAATCCAAAAATCCCCGCTTTTGCTCCCCTACTGTAAAGAAAAAACATTCAGAATTTAGCAGAATTTAGCATTGACTTAAAACAAAAAAATATTTGTATGTTAAAGCAAGTGGTAACCCTTGAATGCTTCAGTTATATTTGTAGCCTAGCTTTTAATTTACTTTTGATCGCCCACCCTAGTGCGAAGTCGCCCATTCAAAGAGAATCTTTTGATATCAAAGGTGTTCTTTTAGAAAGAGTGCTGATAAGCTCAATCAGTATGGATTTGCCTACATATGATGAAATTTTCAAAGGTATAAACAACATATTTTGGCTCACCGGCATTCCTCTAGATGCACCACACAAAAAATTAAGATTCTACGTTGCTTGTTTGAGTTTAATCATCACATTGTCAGGTGAAATTGCATTTTTCACATCGAAAATTTCATCGGAGAATATACTCGAGCTAATGGATTTAGCGCCTTGTTTCTGTATAGGAGCATTATCGTTTTTCAAGGGGATATTTTTAGCATGGAAATTGAATAAGATAATTGTCTTGAAGAATTCTTTGGAGATCCTATACGATACTATATTTAAGAATGACAGTAAGAGGAAGTTGTTGCATCGCGAAATAATGAAAGTGCATAAACTCGTCAAATATTATTTTGGAGTGAATACTGCCCTTATAACGGTTTACAATTTTTCCGCGCCGATTTTCATGACGTACCATTATTTGAGTCAAGGAAAGGTTAAATTCATGGTTCCGTACGCCGTCATATATCCATTTGCAATCGACAACTGGCCCGCGTGGATAGTCGCATATACAGAACAAGTTTTCAGTGGTAAGTTGTAGCGAAAACATTCTATCATTAGCGGCCGCCCGCGAGTTCGTCTGCGTTAACTTTAGTTTATGTAAATCCCTCAGGAACCTGACGCTTTTCCGAGATAAAAAGTATCCTTTGTCTTAATCCAGGTCAATAACTATATGCCCACCAAATTTCATCTAAATCGGTTCAGTAGTTTTTACGTGATTGAGTGATGAACATACAAACTTTCACGTTTATAACAATACGGCTATTATTGCCGCGGCATGTTATTTACCTCGCACAGCTACCGGGCGGCCGGCTAGCGTCCTCCCCTTCACGTTTGCCCCGCACGCGCCCGTTCACCTTAGATAACATACATGCGTGCTTGGCACTGATCATAACTTTAATGCGGAGTTATTTTTAAATAATGATATCACTTAAGATATTTATTCAAATCGACTGAAGTCAAGAACAATTTTGATCAAAATTAAACATTTGTGATATGTGTTAATTTTGATAAAGAATAATTATCATGTTTACAAAAATACCATTGTAGATAAAGTATTATTTAAGAATTACTTTGATTACCAAAAAAGGTTATAGTGTGTCAACCTTAAAATGTAGACGTATGCTGTTGCGGATTCTTTTTAGAACTTTTAAAGGAGAACAATTTCTTCCTACATGATTTTTGTGTAACTTTAACCGTTTATGCAGCATACACAACGAAAGCTCTGAAAAGGGATATTTTTTCTCGTTGATGGTTTGCTCATATTAGTTTTAACATGATGTCATATAGCTTATTACCTTCCTCGATAAATGGGCTAACTATTACAAAAAAAATTTTTCAATTTGAATCAGTAGTTCCTAAGATTAGTGCGTTTAACTAAACAAACCAACTCTTTAGCTTCATAATATTAGTATATATTTATTTTTTGTTATGTTTATGCTGATAAAAAAACACATTGACCTTCGCATAGTGATTCAAATTTTGGCAAGCTTTTTGTGTTTGCATATTTTATTTTTCTTAATACAAATAATAAAACAAAAACAATGAAAGCGCACTTATAAATAAATATTTTTGAAATTTTCGTCTGTAAGCACTTATTAACATAGACTTTTAGTATAAAACTAAGTATTAGATATTTAAACTGCTAACAAGTTACTCGTACCTAGATAAGAACAAGTAAAAATATAGTTATGTTTTATTTTTTAAGCACTTAACTGCTAATTGTTTAAATCTTAAGAAAAGTATACTAGAAAAAAAACAACACGGACCAGGCAGCAGACGGGACTCGAACCAGCACCCTTCGCTATCCGGGCGAATGCACTGACTATTATGCTACCGCGGCTCTGATGTCCGTGTCGAATTTTCTGTAGCCTTAGGCTGCAAGTCAGCGCCATTTCTTCGCATTGCAGGTAACCCACAATTGAATTATTTGGATTTTTTCCTAGTAAACTTTTCTTTAGAAGTAAAAATATACAAAAAGTGCTTTACTGTTATTTTAGCCAGTGTATTATTTTCAGGTTTTGTTTGTATCCTTTTCATAACTATGAGCGACGCTTTGTTTTGCGTTTTGACATCACAAATATGCAACAATTTCTATGTGATAAGTGATGAAATAAAACGATTGAAAAATGGCAATCATATTGGTTTAGGTGAGATCGTTAAGCAACACCAATACATTCTGAAGTAAGTAAACATGTTAAGGTCACCCGGGGCAATTGTAGCCATGGGGCAAATGTAGCTGTGTCAAATAACTCTTCACTGTTTCGTTTTAAAAATAACAAATATCTATGGCTCTGTATACATTTTCTCTAGAGACCTTATGTTTATTTTAGACCTATCCATGATATAAACATTCTTCCGCTTATTAATAAACGCGGAATAGGCTTAGAATTGTTACGCCGTGTTTTGTTCCCACGGAATAGGCTTAGACTTGTTACGCCCTGTGCGATTTGTAAGCGTCGCCGCACACGAACCACACGCCACAGCCACAAACGCCGCCACGAGAAGCTAGAAGCTGCTACTAAAGTGGCTGAAGCGTGCGACAGCGGCCGATTAAGGTAAGGGAGAGAGGGGTGGGGAATCGCGCGAGTGATGTGTGGCGGCGTTTTGTATCGGCGCATTAAGTGGCCGATGCGGGTCACAAAAAGCGAGCAACGACGATTTGTAGCGTGTGCGGCCACCGGCGTACCGTGTGTGGCGAGTCCATATAAAATGTATGAAAACTACAAGAAATATGCCGGTGGCGGCGTTTTGTGATTGTGGTCGGTGGCTCGTGTGCGGTGACACTAAATCAATGAACAGAAACAAAACATAGAATAAGTAATCCAAGCTTATTCTCCGTTTAATAATAACAGGGTCTGTGTTTTTATTCTTTATTAAGGTTATTATTAAGGTTAAAGTACTAAAAACCTTTTGCAAACAAAATAAGATAAACACTATATCAAAACTGCATGTCATCCATACTAATTGTTGTTTTTTTTATCTTGAATCGCTAAAATAATTTTGGTAAGTTCTCGGATTAAATAATACCCAGAGGGTAAAATATGTGTTAAAAATATGTAATTAATACATAACATAGAAAACAATCAAAGGCAAACAGATAAGAACAACTATTTAAAGTTTGTAATATAAATATGTTGTCATACCAATACGAGAAAATAGAAGATATAGCGATTTATATACAAATAGTGTATATAACTATATACATAAAGCAAACAAATAAATTTATTGATATACACCCATTTTTCCACGCAGATGAAGTCGCAGGCACCTACTAACACTCTAATATTGAATAATCTTTGTTTTTAGGCTATCTGAAGATTTAGAAGACATATTTAGATTGACGAATTTATTTAGTTATTTGGTTGGTTCTCTCGAAATTTGCGCTCTAGGATTCAGTATCACAGTGAGTAACTCGCAAGATTCTTTCACAAAGCATTCCTTGGAAGTTTTGTAAAATTTCTGGATTCTTCTTTGTTAGTATCTTCATGATATTTGTTACAAAGAGATGTTGGCTGCTTGAATCTTTGGTTTGTGCAGTTTTATAAAATAAAAAAGTTTGCTCAAAAAATATTAAAATATAAATCTGTTCTTTTGTAGGTGATGGATAATCTAAATTGAACCTAAAAAGAATATAATTTCTTTTGCTTCATAAACTTATACTTTTTAAGCATTTAACTGCTACATATTTAAATCTAAAGAAAGTTTTTACTAGACAAAAATTCCACGTGGACCAGGCAGCAGACAGGACTGACCATTATGCTACCGCGGCCCTGATGGCCGTGTCGATTTTTAACTTATTGTGAGTAAATAAAACATTTGAAAGAAAAACAGCCAATACAGTTAAATTTTTTATTTTTTAAGCATTTAACTGTTAGATATTTAATTTCTATTATGTGCATCCGCCCGGATAGCGAAGGGTGCGGTTTCGAATACCATCTGCTGCCTGGTCCACGTGGATTGTTTTTAGTAAAAATTTTCTTTCAAAATTTTCCTTAAACAACTTGTTAGGAAGTAGTCACTTAAAATTTACTCTTCAACATTTTAAGTAATGTACACTCTTACATTATATACTTGATTTAATATTAATTATTTACTTAACGAAATTTCCAATAATTGGCCTCTTTTATCAATAAATCTCCTAAAGAATTAACGAGTAGTACACTTACTGAGAGAGAACTTCTTGCTCTTATTAATCTGAAATTATTTATTAAACTTCAAACTTATTTTTTATTTGGGGAATAAATAATGAATGATGAATTTCAGATTGGCGACTGGTCCCACTTTTTGGGTTACATTCTTTTTCTGGTGTCCGTTTTGCTACAGATACTGATGATGAGTGTTTTTGGTGAGAACATTATAAGAGAGGTAAAACAACTTTTATTGATGATAATGAGACAGCTATTCGGAGGGCGAGAACTAATTATCCTATTCATTTATAGAGCGGGAGGGTGGGCGAGGCAGCTTTCCTTTGTGAATGGCATGAAATAAATGAGAAGGCGAAGAGAACTATACTCATAATTATGATTAGGTAATTATTATTCTACATTATGTTTTGATAGGTCGAGGGATTGTCGGAGAAAATTATGGAAATAATATTTTAGAAGTTGATCGACCAGTTTTCATGGTTGATTTTTAGTGATGTCAGATATTTTAAGGTATGTTGGAAGCTATAATACGACGAGGTAAAGTTATTACATTAAGTCCGTCAGTTTGTTTATCAAAAAATAATGGACACGTATATAATCTTTGGCAATCAACCAAAAAATGGCCAAGATAAATCGCGTCAAAGTCTGGGAGTATGGACTCATGTCGTCACTATTAAGTAAAAATCATTTCAAATCAATATATTTATGTGATAGTTTGATTATGTGATTAGTTCCCGGTTGTAGGTTTTGATTCCCGTGCGAGTTTCGAAAATTTCCGGCATAAACGGCTATATCTTTTGATTGCTTTGGCTTAGAAGTTTAATTTTTTTACAGCTCCAAGGGACAATAGACCTGAGTATTAGATATGAATTTCAGTTTGATACCTCAAATATATACGCATTCCTCAGAAAAACGGGCTTGACAGACGGATGGACGGACAACAAAGTGATCCTATAAGTACGGAACCCTAAATAAGAAAAAAAGTTAGTCGTCATCCCTATACGACTGGATTTGTGATTGAATTTGAGCGTCTTTTTTGGAAGTCATCTTCAGCACTTACAGTTCAGCATAAATGAGCAAAAAGTAGGCCGGTAAAGGTCTTCTAAAAAGGAGAACAGTATTTTGAAACAATGTTCATAGTCATATAAGAAAAGTTGTCCGTCTATTTCATAAATTGGTGCCCTTAGCCTGTGTTCTTATGTTTTTTTCTATTAGCAATGAAATCATCAAATGAAAGAAAACAACATAATTAGGGCCTCCGCTACCTTTAGCACGCAGCGGTTGTCCGCTCCGGGCTTCGGGTGCTGTTTCATGTCATTTCACAGAGCAGCGCTGCATGAGGCGGGTCTTCCTGATTTGCTGTCTTTTGTGCTCTCGTATGCGTTGTCTTCGAGGAGCTCGATGGCGCAGGTGGTTAGCGCGTTCGGCTGCGATAGTTGAAGTTAAGCAATTTTCGCAGTGGTCGGTCATTGGATGGGTGACCAAAAATCTTCTATCTCGAGTTCCTCCGTGCTTCGGAAGGCACGTTAAGCCGTTGGTCCCGGTTGCATCTGCAGTCGTTAGCATCTGCAGTCGTTAGCACCCGCCAATCCGCACTGGTCCCGCATGGTGGGTCACGGGCCAATCTCCCTATTCCATCCATAGTGAAGGCCTGTGCCCCAGCAGTGGGGACATTAATAGGCTGATGATGATGATGATGCGTTGTCTTTTGAGTAGGTAGTATTAGCAACAAAAATAAACAATTATCAACTGTCAACCCACATGTTCAAAATTGTACTGGCGGTGTTGCGAGAGGCCGGAGTCCGACACGGGTGAAGCGACGGGTTGAATTTGTCCGCTTTGTGCCCCGCTTAATGCAGCGGAGGCTTTTACTTTCACTCACAGAAGTCCTAGTCCAGTTAGCCCAGAGTTGAAGACATAAAGAGATTCTCTGGAGACAGTGAGATTTCTAGAGAACAAAACGAAAACTTACTAAAGCTTTCATAAAACCAAATGTTCATTTTGTTTTATGACAGCTTTAGAGTACGTTTTCGTTTTTTTTTTCGAAAACGAAAACGCACGTTTCCTTTAGACATAAGTGATTAAAAATGAAATAATATTTTTGTATTATATGTATTTACGATGTTAATTAAACGAGAGTATTCTTTCAGATCCCACAAGCACCAGAAGTTGACTGCGTATAAATTTTCTGTAATCTCTTACGGAAGCTTTACAAAGGTAAATATTATTCGATTTCTAAGTATAAGCAATTTTAAATCATCGTTGTTTCTTATTGCAATGATATGATAAGTGATCTATGTACTGCATCGATATGTTTGTCTTCTTCTTCTTCATCTTTCCTCATGGCTGAGGGTTTTAAGGACCTTTTAGGACAGCACAATTCACCAGCAATCTCCAGGCCGTTCTATGTTCTGCAAGGCGGATGATCGCCTGCGAGTTGCTATTCGTGGTTTCCTCAACCATGTCCATCCACAGGGATGGGGACCGCTCTTGCTCCTTTTACCTTCCACGATATGTTTGAATTCGAATCATTTAGTTTTTTTATACATTTGAAGTACGTAGTTTCAAAACTTTAACAATTGTGATTAGATGCTTGATGTCCCATCCACAGGCATGGGGACCGCTCCTGCTCCTTTTACCTTCCACGATATGTTTGAATTCGAATCATTTAGTTTTTTTATACATTTTAAGTACGTAGTTTAAAAACTTTAACAATTGTTATTAGATACTTGGTTTAGTAGTTGATTGAAAAAGTTAATAAAAAAAAGAAATGAATTAGTTGATCTACATAAAGAAATCCTATAGGGGTCACTTTTTACCCTCGATACCAGTTGCGTAGTCATTTTTAGCGATAAGGGGTAAATATACATGCATTCATACCTACATACATGATTTTAACGCTCGACACTGGTAACTCTATTACAGTATGAAATTCATGCAGCCGAGAATTCGATGGGCGTACTGCAGTTCAGTCCTATAAATGGACATACTTGCTATTCAAATACAGCCCTTATTGCTACTACATATAAACGATGTTTATATTACATCATCTACATAGTAGTGACTGTGTTCGAGGACATGGTATTGCAGTGTTCTTGTTGTAACTTTTTAAAGTAGGTCTTCTAATTCTAAATAATTGCAAAGCACTTGAACTCAGGTGTCCAGTTTTATTTTTGAAAATTGTTGGGCTATACAGTTTTCAGCTTAATTAAATTGCAGTTACCGCGACCTAAGGCAGTTGTCTCACCGTCGGCGAGGAAGCGAATAAATATAAATATCGCGCAATAAACGTACAATAGTATATCTATTGATTGGCCGTCTAAACACGTATGCATACATATTTGCTCAGGACAGTCACCGCGATCGAGCGGCGCGAGTAATTCCTGTTTGTACTCGCATACTCGCTTATAGTCCAGCGATAAAACTATCGAAACTACACAATTGTTTCTCACTGCTCGCCAACTCGTTTCTAGTTTCTAGTTCTACTCGCTTCTCGTTCATCGTCGGTGATGGGACAAGTGCCTAAAGTTCATATTATAATGATAGTAGAATATTTTAGAAAAATTAAGGATTATATCTTTAGTCCAGCATTTATTGAATTTTTAATTATTTAATACAGGTTTATCATTATATCTATATATATATATATTAGCAATATGAGATGTCACGTATTATCTGTCAGTAATTATCGATAATATATCTAATTATAATAGGATAAAATAATTATCTGCCAATCTTATCAGGATCGTGACATTGTGCGTTGAAATTAAATTTTGTTTATTTCTCGTTAGGTAATTATGTGTATAGGTAGGAATTATGCAAAAGACACGTCAACACTCAAAGCTACCTAAATATGTGATACGTCATTAGCTTTATTATTCATAGATTGATGATTTGACTCCTATAATGTGGTTATCTGGCTACTTGGTAACTATAACATTACCATTATAATCATTGAAATCTGCTTGGGCTTCACTATGGATGTAATAAGAAGAAGCAGTCAAGACCTATCACGCAGGCAAACGACTTCCAAAGAACGTAGGAGGTCGAAATAATAAATTTTATTGAGCACCCATCTTGCGACTAGTCATTGCGAATTGTGTCATTTCCACTATTGCATGTTGAACGCGCACAATAATTACAGATAATTTTTTCAAGTTATAGTAATTTAAGTTATTTCAGTACCGTTGCAAGCGCCATGATCACGGAGTAACTGAAATAATTGCGGGTAGGCAATGTTATTGGCAGACATATCTATGTCAGTGTCGAAATATCGGAAACTCGCTAAAAACGAGATACATGGTAACAATCCCGTAAATTTATATCACTATAATGTTAGTGACCATGAAAGTTAAAACAAAAAAAAATTCACGGCTGCAGAAATTGTCTTGCAAGTCTTTCACTTCAGATGTAACTCGCTTGCGCTCAATGTCGGTTAAAAGAGTTTCTTTCCACTGTGTCTCATCTACTTATAGGAACACAGAACTTCATGCGATGTATCCCTTGCGAGATTAATGGAGCACCAAAGTTGCAACTTGAGAGTACGGAATGTTTGTAGGTATATTCCAAACTCTCAAGTTGCAACTTTGGTGCTGCGTTCACTCATATTATATCCACACGGTGTGGCTATTATATCTGTGAACGAAACACCAAAGTTCAATGAACTTAAGAGTATGGAATATTATCGAAGTCACATTAGACATTGGCTAAAATTAAAGTCTACCTATTAATTTTTTTTGGTAGGTAATATTTGATTTGGGAAGAGTAAGGAACTCATTTGGGTTGAATTAAGAAAATATATTCAATAATGTAAGAGGTTTCGAGGAACTCAATGGTGCAGGTGGTTAGCGCGTTCGGCTACGATCGTTGAAGTTGAGCAACTTTCGCAATGGTCGATCATTGGATGGGTGACCAAAATCTTATTATCTCGAGTTCCTACGTGCTTCTGAAAGCACGTTAAGCTGTTGGTGCCGGCTGCATCTGCAATCGTTAGCACCCGCCAATCCGAACTGGGCCCGCGTGGTGGGTCACGGCCCAATCTCCCTATTCCAACCATAGGAAAGGCCTGTGCATTGGGGACATTAATAGGCTGAAGATTTTAAATGTAATAGGTTGAGTTAGGATTATTTCTATGGGATGAGTAAGGAAATGGTATGTGTCGCCATAGGATGAATGCGGAATAACCCATATGTATGCCTACAAGTCTCCGAATATGCCCTGCTCGTTGATAGGTTGTTATTATTTGCACTGAAAACTCAGTAGCTTGCACACTGGTTTTGTTTCCTTTCCTGTCCTGTTTCTGGCTTTTAGATTTAAGACAATTATCTTTTAAATTACAATATATAATTCTCTCCAATGCTTTTGGATTATTGTTGCGTGTTCACTGGATTTTCAACGAATGGAATACAATATATTTACAAATCTGAAAAGTAACTATACAACAATTAGAAATCAAAACAACAAAGGTTTAATATTTGATAATTTTTATTTTCAGATAATAAGCACATCGTGGTCCTATTTCACTATCCTCAAAACGGTATACAAGCCATCTGAAGTAAATAACATCTAAGATTATATTTCAATACAAAGTCCGAAACTTAATTCATCGATATCGCATAACATCCGTGTTTCCCAAAATAGAATTATCGGCTGACGATAGCCCCCTATCGAGTTTCTTGATAACGTAATAAAACATAGCTCCTGAAATGGACTCAATTTTCGTTAGGGTTCCGTACCTGAATGGGTTAGAAAAGAAGCCTATATAGCATTATATTATTATTGATTTCTGCTGTCGTCAGAGTCCAAATTGAGCTGTGCTGCGCTAAGCTGTGCTACGCTTCGCTGTATTGCGCTGTGCTTATGTTACTGCGCCCGATGAAATACTGCAGCTTATCCCACACCTTTGGTACTAAAATGCGCTAAAATTTGCGACGATAATTATTGGGCTGCGTGTCTATAGACGCTAAACGATAGCTTGACTGGTGATAATTTGAGCGTGTTTAATTCAAATTGCGAACAACACTTTGTCGCGCAGGTATAGGAGAATCAAAGATACATAGAGACACAGCCACACAATGCTTATACGAGTTTATTCTCACTATAACAACAACAAAATAATTTTATTAATCTTAAAACTAAGGACAATAAATGAAACTTTGCTATGGTGGTTTGTTAATTTTATTTGCGTTGCGGAGTGGTTCGAACCTCTTCTTGTGAAAATACGACTGGCACGGAATTTTGTAAAGAAACATCTACCAGGATAATCCAATGTATTCGGTATAAAACAACTTGATTTGTTTCCTATTATTGTGATCATGCATAGTCGGAACTTATAAAATTTTCTGTTATAGAGGTTTGGGTATATCTATTCGCCAGATCCACAGATGCAGGCGATAAAATAAATAAAATAATACTTCTTTCGTAGCTTTTCACGTGCACCAATCATTTAATAAATAAATATTTGAACGGGTATAACATAAAGCGCTCTTTATTGATTTTACATTCACTAGCCAAAAACTGTTATAAATAAATCTATATATAAGTTTTTGCGCAACATAATGTATTTATTGCACTCTGATTGTGATAGTAATGTATTAAACAATTTAAATACTCTGCTTTGAGTTTTACTTACCAACTCTATGAAGGGCGGGAGTTAATGCTGCAACACAGTTTATTAAACTATAGCAGTTATTAACGAATCATTATTGTATGTACAGTGTATTTTTGCCAACAATATTTTAACATTACATATCTATTGAGAGACATCAGTCCCACTAGCATTAGCACCGCGATATGATATATAACGCGTTTTATCACGCTCAGTTAACAAATTACTATGAAGTTTGGCAGTTAAACGTGATAAAAAAGTGATTCGTGTACATTGTGGTGCTCATGCTTCGGGCACTGAGGATTATACAATAGTTTCTATCCTATGACCCAATTGCAAGCTTATTTAGCGAAGGTACGTGGCATAATTTATTATTATTTTAATTTCGAACAACCTGAAGTGTGTTTAAAATGGCTTACGTGAATTCCCCGTAAAGTTCGCTCTATTTAAACACAACGAATGAACAATTATATTCAGCTGTAACCGTAATAAAATTTTGCCCGAGGTTGCGATTTGGGTCCCATTTCAATGCCTACCCTACCCCTTGGTGTGTCAGTATCGTTATTTTATTACGACAATAATATTTATTTCGCCCACAGGCATTAAAAGTAAAGTTCGACCTTTCCAATGAAATTACGTAAATAAAGACATTTATTTAGTTGGCAATATTATAATAGTTTCTAATTATGATTATTGGGCCTCCTTAAATTTTAAAATTTAGTACCAAAATAAACTGTTTTCAGGTAACGGAGTTATAGATTTATCATGCATGCTTCGTAGTTTAATATTTATTAATATCACACTTACAGCTGGGCCACAAAAATATTTTCTATATCATCATCATCATCCCCATCATCATGTCCCCACTGGGGGGCACAGGCCTTCCCTACGGATGGAATAGGGAGATTGGACCATGACCCGCCACGCAGGCCCAGTGCGGATCAGCGGGTGCCAATATTTTCTATATATTGAAATTAAAAAAAAAACGCTGTTACTTATCTATGTGATTACAGGGATGATGATTAAACATAAAGCCAAGAATTTAATTAACCTTCAATTAATGTTACATATATATATATATATATATATATAATAGGGCAATAGTAGTCCGTCGTGTTTGCTGTCCCCTTTTAAAGCGTCTTAGGCATATACTTTGAAGTTATTAACACCTGTAGTAATTTGCAACGCAAACTGGTGTTTAATTATTAAAACACCAATGTGAGTTCTCTCGGCTTCGCCTCGTGTGACAATAGTATCACATGAGTATTTTAAAACCTAATATAAACAATTGCATACAAGACTTTATCTACATATGAAATCTGTATACAAAATTCTAAAACTATGGGGCGTTGTAAGAACTTAAAATTCATGAAGTTTCAGCGCTGTTGTAGTAAAACGGGCGTGAAATACAATGCTCTTTTTGAAATTCATACAGATAATAAAAATTGTGGCTGTCTGTTAAGTAAATCCTTTGCGCGGAAAGAATCGAAAAAGTACAGGAGTGTTATGAAATTTACCGCAACATTGGATGATATTATGGTTATTAGGACATTGAAAGTTTTAATATTGGAAATAAGCTGTTTCAGAATCTTATAAAGAGGTTTTAAAGTATGGGTGTAGAGAAATAAATAATAGTTATTTATTATACAAGAGTGGAAAGTTCCTTTTTAACCGCGTGCTCGATTTGGATGACCGAGCAAGCGAAGGATTCTAAAGTTGAATCACGAGCGCAGCGAGTGATTCTAAATTAGAATCCTGAGCGTCAGCGAGGGAAACAAACGAGCACAAGGTGAAAAATCTTTCCACTCGAGTGCAATACGTAACTTTTCATCCCACCTCAGCGAGGAAATGACAAAATGAAAAAGAAAACAATTTATAATGACAAAATATTTAAGCAATAAAACGTGAAAAACTAGAATGGCGCGAAGCACGCAAATAAAACAAAGAAACCAAGAAGGTTCCAAATTTAAATTTTTTCACAATTTAAAAAGTTCTAATCATAAATTTGGCACCATAGAGGAAAAAATATTTTTCATCCCACCACCTCGGAAAGTGTAATTTTGCGCTTCGAAATCTGGCTGGAAAATTCTATTTTATTCGCTTGAGCGGCAAAGTAGATTTGAATTTAGAACATCACATATAATGAGTACTCAATATAATTGTAAATTCAAAACGTCATTAAACCTATTTAATGTAACCTCTATGGTGCCAAATTTATGATTAGAACTTTTTAAATTGTGAAAAAATTTATATTTGGAACCTTCTTGGTTTCTTTGTTTTATTTGCGTGCTTCGCGCCATTCTAGTTTTTCACGTTTTATTGCTTAAATATTTTGTCATTATAAATTGTTTTCTTTTTCATTTTGTCATTTCCTCGCTGAGGTGGGATGAAAAGTTACGTATTGCACTCGAGTGGAAAGATTTTTCACTTTGTGCTCGTTTGTTTCCCTCGCTGACGCTCAGGATTCTAATTTAGAATCACTCGCTGCGCTCGTGATTCAACTTTAGAATCCTTCGCTTGCTCGGTCATCCAAATCGAGCACGCGGTTAAAAAGGAACTTTCCACTCTTGTATAATAAATAACTATTAATTTAGGATTCTGATTGGTTCGTATATTTCGTTTCATAATTTCATAGGTGAACTATTCTAATTCGTGAGCCAGTATCAATTGTGAACGTCTAGACGGTCCCGTCTAGTCGAGAGTTATAGTTACAAAAGCTCCGCTTAACCAGTCGAACATAATAGCGTCCCTTACACACAAATGGCTACGAAGTGATACCGTCTTATTTAAGCTCCGTGTCATAAAGTTCAAAGGCCCTACATAACAATATTAGTCTACAATTTGGGGAGTTTTCAAATATGAGAAGTTAGTTTTATTCATTCTTATTTTTCTGGTACTACCTACATGGAGGAGCTGCATTGGAAGTTGGCCTGCGATCGTTGAAGATAAGTAACTTTTGCAACGGTCGGTTATTGGATGGGTGACAAAAAACTTATTATCTCGAGTTCCTCCGTGCTTCGGAAGGCATGTGAAGTCGTTGGTACCGACTTCATCTGCAATTGTTAGCACCCACCAATCCGCACTGGGTCCGCGTGGTGGGCACGGCCCAATCGCCCTGTTTCATCCATACGGAAGGCCTGTTCTCAGAACAGTGGGGACATTATCAGCTGATGATGACTATGTGGCGGCGACATCTACACGCCCCACATATAACCAACATAGAGGAATTAATCACTCGCCTCTTCAAGAGATGGCGCTACCGGCGCTGCACTCAAATAGTATGGAAGCCTACATCGCACAAGTGAAATTCGGCGGCCAACAGTTCATGTATACAATGCCCGACCAACATCAGTCGGGCCGCGGCCCCCGAGCTACCATCACCCAGGTCAAATCGACAGGCAAAGAAAACATTAATAGAGTGAGAATTTGCATATAACAAATCGGATCACATTTTGAACATTTGATGCCTTAAATTATAATTTTTAATTGCGCCGTTTCCTTTTTTATTGCTTTTTGTTCAATATTTTTTAATAAAATGTGTAATTTTATTACTTTTCTTTCATTTAAAATGCTATGTTATTTAGCAAACAATAATTGTTAAGATTAACTCTTTCGATGGTTATCATAAAATATGTCGTGTTTTTTTTTTCGAAATTTCACGAATTTGATTCCCAGTTGTAGCAGTCGATTTTAAAAAAAACTGTGAATGCAGTTCTAGTTATTATTAAAAATGAAATGATGTTTTCTTTCAGTAAAATATCCTATATTTAATATACTTTCCCTCCGTGTGAGGTAGCCGTGGGATGCCCTGTATAATTAAAACAATAATAGTAAATAAAATATAATTATTACTGAATTTAAATAGTAATAACAATGTTAATTACTTATATCTCTTTTAGGTATAACACTCTCTACGTGATTGATAAACTACACTTCGTTTATCAATTAATAAATTTATGCCA